GATATTTCATTACAGATTACAGAACCAAGCTATAAATAATAGAGGGAGGTTCTCTGAAACCTTCTGATTTGGAAGATCTTATTCTTAACCCAACAGTCCCAGCCAGTGAACAGTTGATTGATGAGAGCTCATTCCTTAAGGAATAGAAAGTTCATGTTTATTTCCAATTCGCTCTCAGCAAAGAGAACAGTTATGTGGGGACAGGGAAGGTCCTATTCTCTGGGGGACATGCTGAGGGAGCAGTCAGTGTGAGGGGCAGTTTAGCCTAATGGTTTAAAAGCTCAGACAACTGGAACCTGACTGTCCGTGTCCAAATCCTGGCTCTGCCACATAATGCTGTGTGGCCTGTAGACGGCATTTAGGCATTTTGTGCCTCAGCTTCCTCCTCTATAAATTAGTGATCATAAGAGTACCTACTTCCTAGAGTTGTGATGAGGGATAAATGAGTCAGTACCTATAAAAATAGCAGTACAGGTGTACACGCCCTTATTCAAAACCCTTGGGGCCACATGTGTCTCAGAATTTCACATTTTTCAGATTTTAGAGAGGTAACAAAGAGCACATACAAGATGTTACATAACATCCTTAGTGGGCTCCATAATCAGTCACATTTAGATTTCTGTAAGGGAAATGTATGAACAGTCACACTAAGCGAGGATCAGTAAAGACCAGAAAGGGCCTTCTTTCATTTCAGAACAGGTTTTGCTGACAAGAGGGTTGCAAAGAAGCTTTCTGTTTTTAGATCTTTTGGGATTTTGGAATAGTAGATAAGGAATTATGAACAAATCAGAAACTAGTATTGAGAGCTTATCATACCCCAGGCACATTATATTTAATCTGTACAATAACCCTATGAACTTGGTATTATTGTTATTATCCCTGTTTTACAGATGAGCGTGTTATTATCCCTGTTTCACAGATGGGCAAATTGAGGGACAAAGAGGTTAAAGAATATGCCCCGGGTCACACTGCTAATAAGTAGCAGAACCAGGATTCCAACCCTGGAAGTCTGGCTCTAGAGCCTGGGCACTTTTCCAGTAGGCCATATTGCCTCTCTGAATAGAACAATGCCTGGCACTTATTGAGCACTCAATAAATGTTAATTATTGCTGTTCTCAAGAAGGAGAACATACAGGGGCAGTAACAAGTCCAGGAAATGTGGGGTAGAGGGACAGAAGAGAGCAGGCATTCAGTTGCAGGAAGGCTTCATAAAGGCAAGGCCCCTGGGGCTGGGACTTAAATGGTGAGGAAGACTTCTAGGCAGAGGAAGGAAGCCCCACATGAAGTGAACAGCCTTTGCAAGGGGCTGGCAGAAGGAACCTCCTGGAAAACTTGATGTTTGATGTGGTAGAAAATGTGAATGAAAACGTTCAGGTGAGGGTCATTGTACTAGTTTTCTATCTCTGCTGTAACAAATTATCACAAACTTCGCTGCTTAAAACAACACAATTTATTCTCTTACAGTCCTGTAGGTCAGAAGTCCAGCCCGGGTCTCACCAGGATAAAATCAAGGTGTCAGCAGGGCTACATTCCTTTCTAGAGGCTCCAGGGAGGATACATTTCCTGCTCATTCTGGTTATTGGCAGAATTCGATTCCTTGAGGTTATAGGGTTGAGGTCACTGTTTCCTTTCTAGCTGTCAGCTGAGGGCCATTCCCGGCATTACGAGGCCACCATATTCCTGGGCTTTGAGCCCCCTTCTTCCATCTTCAAAGCCAGTCATGGCAGGTGGAGTCCTGTCACACTTTCAATCTCTCCTGCCCCTTCTGTCATCACACCTCTCTGAGCTACCTTTCTGCCTCTTTCTTTTTTTTTTTTTTTTTTTGATGGAATTAAGTTTTTTATTTGCTTATTTTGAAACCTGAACAAAAACTGTACCTTTTTATTTATTGCAGAAACAGCTTTCTTCTGCTTTTATTAAGAGTTCGAGGGCCAGCCCCCATGGCGTAGTGGTTAAGTTCAGCGTGCTCCGCTTTGGTGGCCCAGGTTCACAGGTTCTGATCCTGGGCAATGGACCTACACTATTTGTCAGCGGCCATGCTGTGGCAGTGATCCCCTTACAAAACAGAGGAAGATTGGCACATGTTAGCTCAGGGCTAATCTTTGTCAAGCAAAAAAAAGATGAAGATTGGCAACAGATGTTAGCTTAGAGTGAGTCTTCCTCAGCAAAAAAAAAAAAAAAAGAGAGAGTTCACGTGATTAGATTGAGCTCACCCGAATAGTCCAGGATAATCTCCCTATCTTAAGGTCCGTAACCTTAAATTCATCTGCAAAGTTCCTTTTACTGTGTAACATCATGTACTCACAGATTCCAGAGATTAGGATGTGGACATCTGAGGGGGGACATTACTCTGTCTACCACAGTCTGCCCTCTGGCCCCCAAAGATTCACATTTGTCCCACATGCGAAATACATTCACGCTATCCTAACGTCCCCAAAAGTCTCATCTCGCAACAGGGGTCATCCAAAACCAGGCTGAGGAGCTTAGAATCTAGTCTGAGGGTGTTTAAGGAATGATGGTGAGGTTTGGGAACAGAGGTGGAAGCAAGATGGCAAGAAAAGAATCTTCCTCCTGCTGACCTCTTCCCCCTCCTGTGTCCACAGCTTCTTGGCTCTGAGCCATCTGCCTCCAGGTACCCCAGGGATGGCGTGAGTGCTTCCCCAGTGATGGACCCCTCTGTGACGCTGTGGCAGTTTCTGCTGCAGCTGCTGAGAGAGCAAGGCAATGGCCACATTATCTCCTGGACCTCCCGGGATGGCGGTGAGTTCAAGCTGGTGGATGCCGAGGAGGTGGCCCGGCTGTGGGGGCTACGCAAGAACAAGACCAACATGAATTATGACAAGCTCAGCCGGGCCTTGCGGTACTACTATGACAAGGTAAGGTGTCTGAAACCAGGGCTGGCAACCCCCAACATTTATATCAGTTATTTCATTTTCTTGTCTTAATTGCTGTAGCTATAACGTTGAAAACAATATTAAAATTTGCCTTTTCTTACCCCATCCTCTGGTACTCTCAGACCAATATTGGGGCCCCCATTTATCTCAGTTATTTTATTTTCTTGTCTTACTGCTTTGCCTAAAACCTTCGTAGCAATATTAATACTGATGCTTACTCACCCCACTCTCTGAAATCCCCAAAGTCATACTGTCCTACCACACCCTGCACGACAGTTCATTTTCTTGCCTTATTCCTACAGCCAAAACTTTTGAAAACACTATTAATAATGACTCTTTCTCAGCCTGTCTTCTGGAACCCCTGGACCAGTCCTGGGCTCCCCCAGTTATTTCATAATCTGCTCTTATTCCAGAATAAGAATTCCAGAATATTCTTATTCCTAGAATCAAAACCTCCATGGCAATAGTATACTAACCTTTCCTTAGTTCATCCTCTGAGACCCTCGACATTTTTATCGATTCTTTTCTTTTATTCCTTTAGCTAAGACCTCCAAAACAATGTGTAACGCCAGCTCCATATCCCATCCTCTTGGATTCCTGGAGCAACACTGGCCTACCCCAATATTTATATCAAGTATTTTATTTTATCATCTTATTCCTAAAGCTAAAATTTCAGGTTTTCCTTATCCTCTCAGACTCCCAGAGCAGCACTGGCTTTCCCTTCCCCCTCAATATTTATACCAGCTATTGTATTTTATTTCTTTACCTGAAACTTCCAAAACAATATTAATGAATATCCCTTTTCATTCCTTTTCTGAGAAACGCAGACCCACCTTGTGACATACCTGACGAACATTAAGATGTCCCCAGGATGCTCTAGTGCCCCCCAGATGCCTCTTGTCTCCCAGAACAGCCCTGGACCTATTAGGGCTGTACACCCTTAATCATTTATAGCATTTATTCCATTTTCATATTTTATTTCTTTAGCTCAAACCTCAACAACAATATTAATAATGAGGCTCTCACTCCGTGCTCTGAGACCACCAGAACATCCCTGAGACCCTCCAGATCTATCTATGCTGAAATATGCCAAACATGCTCTGTGACCCACCCAAACCAGCCTTGAGATTCCCCCGATATTTATACCAGTATTTTAATGTTCTTGTCTACTTGCTATCAGTCACTTCATTTTCTAATTGCCTTAGCTTTAAACCTCCATAACAGTATTAATAAGGAGGCTCCTCACCCTGACCTCCCTAGTGACCTTGCCCTGTTGCACATCTTTGTCAGTTGCTTTAAATAATCCTCTATATTAATAATTCACCACATTCTTCTACATTAATCTTTTCCAACATTTGTATCAATTACTTCATTTTCCTATCTTATTGCATTATCTAGACTCCAAAACTGTGTCCTAGCAGCCCCCCCCCCCAAGGCCTAACCCTGTTAACACCCAGACACCCCTGGGGTTCCTGGAGCCAGGAGGAAAACTTGCTCCTGCACCTACTTCCATAGGTGGGCCCCATGGTGGAGAGGAGCCGGTGTGGGTGGGGTGTGTATCTGAGATGGGGTGGGAGAATCGGACAGATGGGGATAAAGAGTGACAGAGGGAGACTTGGAGGGGATGGATGGGAAGGAGACAGGGAGGGGAGCCAGGGAAAGGGAAGGAGGGCAGTAGACTAAAGGAAGAATTGTAGACGGGAGAATAGAGAAGAGTGAGAAACTGGGGAATACAGAGAAAGGAATCGGGATGAGGAAGAAAGAGAGGTAGCGCTGAAGGAGGAAAAGGGAGGAGCCCCAAAATTGAGAAAGAGATGGATGAGATGTGAAATGGACTGCGAGGGGGAACAAATGGGGAGGCAGACCCGGAGGCAGGATGGTGTTATGTAGAAAGACAGGAGAGGGGCCCGAGGGAATAAAGACACTAGGAGACATACCCCTTCACCACCACCCCCATCCACACCCTCCCTCCACTCTGGCCCTTTCTTCTGAGGCCCACTATCCTGTCTCCTCCCTTCCCAGAACATCATCCGCAAAGTGAGTGGCCAGAAGTTCGTCTACAAGTTTGTGTCCTACCCCGAGGTCGCGAGGTGCTCCACTGAGGACTGCCCGCCCCAGCCTGAGGTGTCTATCACTTCCACTGTGGCAAATGTGGCCCCCGCTGCTATACATGCCATCCCCGGGGACACTGCTTCCGGGAAGCCAGGCACACCCAAGGGCGCTGGAATGGCAGGCCCAGGTGGCTTGGCACGCAGCAGCCGGAATGAGTACATGCGCTCAGGCCTCTATTCCACCTTCACCATCCAGTCCCTGCAGCCGCAGCCGCAGCCACAGCCGCCCCCTCATCATCGGCCTGCCTCAGTGCTTCCCAACACTGCCCCTGCAGGAGCAGCAATGCCCCCCTCAGGGAGCAGGAGCACCAGTCCAAGCCCCTTGGAGGCCTGCCTGGAGGCTGAGGAGGCTGGCCTGCCTCTCCAGGTAAGGACTGGAATATGGAAATTCAGTAAAAGGGATGTACAATTCCCAAATGAGGAGGAGGGCTGGAAGAATGGACATAAATGTCCTATTAAAGGACATACGGTGGGAGGAGGGACACAGAAGTCCTCTTGGAGAAAGGGATGGGGAGGAGAGCTATACAAGTACTGAGAAGGAAGAAGGAGATTAAGGGTGCTACAATTAGTAGTACGCCTAACATGTAGTAGGTGCCCTGAATGTATTTGGTTAATGCACTTGTTCTCACACTTGAGCACTCATCACAATCACCTGATGGGGCTTTTTAAACTACAGATTGCTGGGGCCCAGTCCCAGAGTTTCTGATTATGTGGGTCTGGGGATGGGCCCAAGAATTTGCATTTTTAACTAGTTTCCAGATGAGGCAAATGCTGCTGGTCTAAAAAGCAAATTGAGAACTACTGCTTTCATGAATGGGGGCAGTATCCCCTGGAGTCCTGCCCATAGGGCAGCCCTGCCCCCATCAGTGTCTCACCCAGGTCCCATGCCCCCTAGATAGGAAGACCTGCCCCAGAAGAAGCCCCACTTCCTTGGGAAAGTCCCACGTCCAGTTGGAGGTCCTGCCCCCATTTGCAGCCGTGCCCCAACTACCAAGTCCCTCTTTCCAAGGGAAATCAGTAGCTTCACTCCCCCATCAATCCTTACGTGCCCCCTGTGCACCCGCTCCTCTCCCAGGTCATCCTGACCCCGCCTGAGGCCCCGAACCCTAAATCAGAAGAGCTGAATGTGGAGCCCGGGTTGGGCCGGCCACTCCCCCCAGAAGTGAAAGTGGATGGGCCCAAAGAAGAGTTGGAAGCCGCAGTCAGTGGGGAGGCGGGGTTTGTGCCGGAAGGTGCGAAGGCCGGGCCGGAAGTCCCTCCCACAGAGGGCGTGCCGGTCAGGCTGCCCCCGGTCGTCATGGAGACTGCGGCGCCGGTGGGCGGCCTCGCAGCTTCCACAGCTTCCAACACGGAGATTGCCCAGCCTCAGAAGGGCCGGAAGCCCCGGGACCTTGAGCTTCCACTCAGCTCGAGCCTGCTGGGTGGGCCGGGACCCGAACGGACTCCAGGATCGGGAACTGGCTCAGGTCTGCAGGCGCCAGGGCCTGTGCTGACGCCGTCCCTGCTACCTACGCACACATTGGTGAGTGCCTGGGAAGGGGGAGACTGGCCACCGGGACCCATGGGATCGGCATGGGGCGGGTGAGCAAGGAATTATGCTGACTGCGAGGGCCAATGTGGTTATCGCTGAGCGAGGTGAAGGGCGGAGCCTCTGACTGGGATTGGCTGCATTGAGGCCCGGGCTGGAAGGACGGGGCTTGAAGAAAGGGCAAGCGGTCTCCACTGCTAAGGGATCAGGCGCCCGAAAGGAGGGCGGGTCTGGGGAGTTTTGTGGGCGGGGACTGAGGGACCGAGAGGCTTTTTGTGAGAACTGTTTCGCGGTTGGGACATGACTTGAGGAACCTGAGAGGGGCTTTTTGGGCTAGGGTTTGCTTAGCGGATTTCCTGTGAGGTATACAGGGGGGTTATTAAGAGTTGGAGGTTGACCCTGAGCTGTTGGGATGACGACTTGTGAGGTTTAAAAGCGGCATGTGGATGAGGTGCTGTAGGTTGTCTTGCCCAATGAGGCTGGGGGTGGGCTCTCAGAAGTTGGGAGGGGTTGGGTTGTCTGTAAAGTTGGAGAGCTGTCCCGGCGCGGCCTTGGTAGTTATGATCTGGGCCTCTGCACTTTTGGGGAGTAACTTCAGCAGTCTGAGTGGGAGATCTGCTGGGGCTGGAACCAAGTTCCATCTGTTTTCCCGCACCTGCCGTCTGCTCACTTGAGCTCCAACCACCCCTTCTCCACAGACCCCGGTGCTGCTGACGCCCAGCTCGCTGCCCCCCAGCATTCACTTCTGGAGCACCCTGAGTCCCATTGCACCCCGTAGTCCGGCCAAGCTCTCCTTCCAGGTAGGATCTTCTCCCACCCGTCTCAGAGAGGGTGAAAGACCCTAGTATGGCACCCATCCTTGACCTCTCCCTATTTCTGTCCGCAGTTTCCTTCCAGTGGCAGCGCCCAGGTGCACATCCCTTCCATCAGCGTGGATGGCCTTTCAACCCCCGTGGTGCTCTCCCCAGGGCCCCAGAAGCCATGACTACCACCACCAACACCACCACCCCCTTCTGGGGTCACTCCATCCATGCCCTGAACTTCTCTCCAGCCAGCCGTCTCAAGGAGAAACATAGTTCAGCTGACAGACTCGTGCTCTGGTCGTGGTGGGGTGGGGATTCTTAGAAAGAAGGATTTCTTAATATCCCTTCCACAAAAAACATACAACTTCTCTCTTCTTGGTCAGTCCCCCAGTGGCCGCCCTTATACGTCTCCTACTGCAGTGGTGGGGGCGGTTTATTTATTGATTTTTTGAAGACCACTGGGAGGAGCCTGGCCCAACCCTTTTTGGGGAGATGGTGAGGATATCTCCCCATCTCCACATTTTTCCCCCAGGATGAGACAGTCGGGGTCTGGGCCTGAGAAGGACCTTTCTTTATTTATTTCTCAGCCTGCCCTTGGGGAACTGAAGGAGCCCTGTCTCCATTTGGCGGTGTGGGTAGAAGAGCTGGCTGCTTGTAGTTTATTATTCCTGGCCATACCCAAGGGTCCAGGAAGAATTTGTGCTGTTTAACGGTTTGGGAGTCTTGTCCAAGGAAGACTCACACCCTTGGAATAAGAATTTCCACCTCCCCAGCCTTTCTCTCATACAGCTTGTCCTTTTGCAACCACCTTTGTCGCCAGGGAGGAATGCCCCTTTTCTTCTTCTCCCCCTGAGAAGCCATGCCTGTGTCTGCCAAATTCCTGGGGTCCTGCCTATTACCTCCCAATGGAGGGTTTTTTTGGGGGAGTGGTCCCCGTCTGGGGGGCCCCTCCAGCCAGTACTCCAGGTCTTCCTGTCCCCCACCCCCTGCCATTTTGATAGTATAATCTATTTTTAAACAGGGCTTTTCAATAGGGGAGAGGGGGGCATCTCTTCCTATATCTGAGATGGGGTGGGTGGGAAGGAAGGGATCTGGGGGAATCTTCCTGCCACCCCCAAGTGTTTATTTTTGATACCAAATGTGTATTTTCAGCTCCCTCCCTCCCAGCCCCCCAATTTCCTGCGGGCGGGTACAAAGGACCCTTTAAGTGTCCCTGGAGTTGGGAGGGAGGAATGGGGGACATAAAGCCTGTCCTATCTGAATTCCAGGCTGGAGAGGTTGGGTTCAAAGGACTCCTGGGCTCACCGATCCTGTTAGCACCAGTCCAGCCCAAGCCTGGGGACCTGGGGGTTGGTGATTTAGGGGACGGTGCTACACCTGTCTCCACTGTTTGTTTTACTTCCCCAAAAATGGATCTTTTTTTCTAAGAGTCCCAGAAAATGGGGAATTGTTCCTGTAAATATATATTTTTAAAGATGGTGTTGGAGGCTGCTAGCATTTTTTCTCTGAAGCTGTTGGGACTGAGTGTGACAGGCATGACTTTGTGTGGAAGGCGGTGAGGGTGTGAGGTTGATTGTGAAAGAGATAGCATGATGGTGTGTGTCAGAAATAGTAGTCGAGACTGAAGATTGGTAACCAGGTGTGTGAAAAAGAGAGAAACTGTGGAAAGCTGTGATCGCATGTGTATATGTGCGAAACTGTGTGAGAAAGTGAAAGTTGTGACCACAAACTTGACATTGTGGCTGTGTGTCAGAAAATCACTGTCAGACTGAATGAGTGATTAAGGCAGTATACAAGAAACCGGTGGTGTGTGTGAAATAATGTTTATGAGAAGGCAGTGGGGGCTGCACATCAGTCTCTGTTTGACAGACTGATGGTGAGCCAGACAGACTGAGTTACCAAAACAATGTGTGAGAGCCTATATGGGCATGAAAGTGTGGTAGAGATTGTCAAGGACTGTGTGTCGGTGAAAAAGTTCACTGTATGTAAGCAGGTACTCAGTGTTTGGGAGATAGATTGTGTGCGAAACTGTTCATGCAAGGCTGTCGTATCAACTAGAGTAATGGAGCTTATGTGTGAGAAGTTGATTGAGAGAAAATGGGTGCCTGAGACACAAGGTACATGAATGCGGGATTGTGTGTTTGAAAACTGTTCACGTGAGACTGGCAAAGACTGTGTAAGAAACTGGGAAAAAACGGCTATGACTGGGAGAGCATGAGAGGCTGTAATTGTGTGTGTACCAGAGACTAGTGGCAAATTGATTTACAGTGACTAGTCTAGCCCACAGGTTCAGGGACTGTGAAAGTGTGAGAGAAAATGATGGTGAGTCTGAGTGAAGTGGTACCACATAACTGAGCGAGAGACGATAAGTAAGAATAACAACGTCAGCGCTGCGTGAGAGAAAATTGACGACTGAGCAGAGTTTAAGAGTATGTGGGTCTGTGAAACATTTCATAAGAGATTATAAATTGGAGACTATGTATTTGTGAAAAACAGAAAATGAGACACTGAGAGACCATGTGATTGGTGTGTGGGAGAAACCAGCAAGGCTGTAATTGTGTTTGAGTGATAAGCTGACTGTATGAAGAAGATGATGATGTGAACAACTGAGATAGGCCCTGAGAGACTGTGTGTGTGAGACTTAATGAGAGCCTAGTAGCGATTGTGAATTAGTGACTGCACATGTCAGAAGCTGACTGAGGGAAAGTGACTGTGACACCGAATGGGTGACTGAGACAGTATCTGTAAAAGTGATTGTGTGAGTATGTGTAAAACTCTTCGCGTGAGACTTTATTAAAGGCTGTAAATAAAGGACTGGGTATGTTAGAAACTGCTTGAGAAGTGTGAGACTAGGTGGTGACTAGGACAATGTCTGAGGTATTGTGATTGTGTGTGCAACTCAGCTATAATCGGACTGTGGGTGTGTGAAATAGGGGCTTGATTGTGAAGAGGTGCGAGAGAAGATTTTGTATGTGTACAAGAAACTTCATGAGAGACTAGTGGCTGTAAATCAGTGACTATTTGTGGATGTGAGAAAATGATGGCCTGTGTGAATGGTTGAAACATCTTATCAAAAGGTGTGACTGGTTTGTGTGCACGTGAAAAACTGGTAAAAGTAAATCGTGGTGATATTTGCTGAATGAGACAGCCTATGAGACGTGATTGTGTGTGTGAGAGAGAGAGAGAGAGAGAAACTGTTAGTAGGAGACGATAGTAAGACTGGGAATCAATGATTCCCTGAGTGAGTGGCTGAGGATGTCTGAGAGGCTGTGTGATCGAGTATGTATATGAGCCTGTTTGTAACAGACTATAGTTGAGGCTGGAAATCCAGAACTATGTGTGTAACTATGTTTTTTAAAAAGTGAAAGAAAATGACTGAGACCAAATGAGACTGTATGAGAGACCACGAATGGAATGTGCCAGGCCTAGGGGAAAGCCCTCTTCTGTTTGTTCTCTTCCTCCACAGATCCCTCCTCCTCAATCCCCTGGGCTGGCTTCTCCCAGTTCTCCAAAACTTGAAATGCTGAAGTTCCCCGGGGCTTTGCCTGGGGTTCCCTTCCCTCTTCTCACAAGCCCCCTTCAGGCAGTCTGCCCCAGTCCTGGCACCTGAGACACGACTCCCCTGGTGACGCCCACATTTTTACCTCCAACCCAGACTGTTCCTCTTAGCACTTACCCAGAATCTCTAAGTTTTGTTTACTTCGTTTATTTATTCATTCAGCAGATGTTTGTTGAGCCCTGAAGACACAGTGGTTAACAAACCAGACAGAAACCCCTGCCCTTTTAGAGCTGGTATTTTAGTGAAGACGTTGGACAAGAAACAAATACATCATGTCAGGTGGTGGTGCAATAATTACATGAGACAAGACTCTCTCACTCTTTGTTTAAATAAGAAATCTGCAGAGTCGTTTTATTGCCCAAACGTGTGGGAGCAGATGAAAACGCCGACAGTCCTCTTCCACAGGAATCCTATGAGTATTTATACAGTTTAGGAACAAAGGAAATATCGATTATAGCATTATTACCTGGGCAACGGGTGATTAGATAAAGCAACCAACCAGAATTACAGGTTTCTTGGGAGTTTGTTTTCACAGGATAACGCAGCACTGATGTCTGAAGTCTTAGAATCTTAACAAGACCCTTTTGTTCAAAGCACACTTGCAAAGACAGGCTATATTATCAGGAAACAGAGTACGTCTGTAATGGATATGAATGTCAACACGCCTTATCACCCATAAAACAAGACCAATGTTCTTGAGAAAGTTCTGTTTTAACACCTGACCAAATCAAATTCTTTTACTTTAATTTGCAGAATGGTATTTCTCCCTCCATGAATGCAAGAGAAATGAGACCTTGCCTTCCTAACTTTCTTAGACTCCTTTTTGTTAAAAAGCTTTCTGTTTTTAAAGCAGGCTCTAGAGTTTCACTCATTAGGGCTTATGAAAAAAAAAGAGGGGGTCCGTGGAACTCAGTTTTACCTGCATGGAAAATGAGCTGAAGAGGAATTAATTATTAACAGTAAAATAAGGAGCATGTAGAATAGTTTTTGTAGATGAGACCTACAAAGAAAAAGAGGGGTCAGGGACTAGAATGATGGTTCTTAAAGTGTGGTCCCCAGACCAGCAGCTTCCGTGTCACCTGGGAGCCTGTTAGAAGTGCACATTCTTTTCTTTTCTTTTCTTTTTTTTTATAATTTTATTTATTTATTTTTCCCCCAAAGCCCCAGTAGATAGTTGTATGTCATAGTTGCACATCCTTCTAGTTGCTGTATGTGGGACGCAGCCTCAGCATGGCCGGAGAAGCGGTGCGTCAGTGCGCGCCCGGGATCCGAACCTGGGCCGCCAGCAGCGGAGCGCGCACACTTAGCCGCTAAGCCACGGGGCTGGCCCAGAAGAAGTGCACACTCTTGAGCCCCACCCCAGACTTATAGAATCAGAAACGGGGGTGGGGCCCAGCAATCTGTGATTTAAGAAACCTTCCAGATGATTCTGATGTATGCTAAGATGTGAGAGCCACTGACCTAGAGAGTGACAGGGGTGCCGTACATAAAGGGTAGCTAGGGACAACCTCTGTGAGGGAGGTGACAGTTATTGTCTGTCTCCACTTTCAGAGCGCAAGCCCTTTGAGGGCCAGGATTTTTGGCCGTCTTGTTCTCTGTTCCGTCCAATGCTAAGAACAGCATCTGGCACCCGATGGGTGCCCAATAAATATTGAATAAATTTATGTAACAAACACAGAGCATGTACTGTATGCCAGGCACTGTGCTAAGGACTTTTTAAAATCTTTACTCCCAATCTTTGCAACAAACCCTATGATGTAAGTTCAGGGAGGGAGGTGTCACCTACCCAAGTTACTCTGATGGAACATGGCCAAGCCAGTTCCCTGCCAACCACCCCTCCCCAGGCCCTGAATGTGTCCCCAGCTGGGCCCCTGGGACAGTGGATATCCCCAACTCACTCCTCCTGAATCCTCCCCACACTCTTGCCACTTCCCCTTCTCACTTCCCTTGTGCTGACCTCCCTTCCCCATGCTGACCACAGGAAACCTCGCTTTCAGGAAAGAGGAGGGCAGGGCAGTGGGCAAGTCAGGATGGGGGATGAAGCAATTACCTCGATGCCTGCTCCACCCCGTGAGGAGGCATACTGAGCACGCCACACTCATTTCACCCTTGTTCAATGCCCCTGTGAGGTTGACCCTGTCGTTGGGGTGGAGATTATGCATTTTAGAGGTGGAGAAACAGGCTCAGAGAAGTTCAAGTGACTCGCCCAAGGTCACACAGCTAGGAAGCTCATCTTGCTCCAAACTCCTATGCTCCATTTCCCCTCAGTGAGAATTTGTCCAAGGAGCATTGATTGAGTGCTAAAGGGTTGCTGGGCAGGGCATGGGGTGCTGGGGATACAGTGACAAACAAAACAGGATCAAGAGCGAGACAGGAAGTAGGAAGGGGAGAGTAGAGGAGGAGGCTCAGAGGAGAGGTGACAGGGGAGAGGTTGGAGCTGAAGAGACCTGCACGATGCCCTCCCCTCCCCCGTGCTGCCCTTCGCCCTCCCAGTTCCTCCTGCCCATGGTTCCTCTTTCCCGCTGACTCTGGGAGCCGGTCAGCCTGCAGAAAGCCAGGCCTCCTCTCTGGCGGAGCTGCAGGGTGCAGGGCTCAGCATGCCTGCCCTGGCGCAGGCCCCTCGGTTGCTGCTGCTGCCTCTGCTGCTGCTGCTTCTCACTCTGCCAGCCACAGGTGAGTGGGGGAGGACCCAGCTGGGCCCCGAGGTGCCCGGGCCCACCACACTCCTGACCATGCCCCCCCCCGCCATGTTACAGGCTCAGACCCCGTACTCTGCTTCACCCAGTATGAGGAATCCTCAGGCAAGTGCAAGGGCCTCCTGGGGGGAGGTGTTAGTGTGGAAGACTGCTGTCTCAACGCTGCCTATGCCTTCCAGGAGCCCGGCAGGAAGCTCTGTCAGGCATGCAGGTTAGGGGGAGCCTGGGGTTGCGGGGAGGCAGAACTGGGCTCATTCCTTCTCTGGGTTTTCCAAGGGTGGCTCCAAGGCCCTGAATATGACCATAGCTCGGGATTTCTCAGCCTCAGTTCTATTGATATTTGGGGCCAGAAAATTCTTTGTTGTGGGAGGCTGACCTGTGCATCGCGGGGTATTTCATAGCATCCCTCCCACTAGATGCCAGTAGCAACTGCCCCTACCAGTTGCAACAACCAAAATTTCTCCAGACATTGCCGAATGTCCCCTGGGAGCAAAATCACCCCTGGCAGAGAACCACTGCCATGGTTTACATTTATTGAGCACTTCCTGCATACTGGAAGCATTGTGGGTGGGGTGCAGCTCAGGTATTTCTGAAGGTAACTCAAGTCTCCTAATTGTGATGACAGCTCATATTGAGTGCTTACTGTATACAGATGCACTGTGGGGGTGGGAGTTTGGGGAATTCTGAGGGCAGCTCCAGGCCCCTAATTATGATGACACTTCACATTCATTGAGGACTTCTGGCACACCAGATGCATTGCAGAGGTCGAGGGTAGCTGGAGGATTTCTGAGGGTAGCTCTAGTCTCCTAATCATGACACCAGCTTACATGTATTGAGCCTTTACTGTATGCCAGACATTTTTTTTTTTTTTGTGAGGAAGGTTAGCCCTGAGCTAACATCTGTTGCCAAACCTCCTCTTTTTGCTGAGGAAGTTTGGCCCTGGGCTAACATCCGTGCCCATCTTCCCATCTTCCTCTACTTTATATGGGACGCCGCCAGAGCATGGCTTGATAAGCAGTGCGTAGGTCCGCGCCTGGGATCCGAACCTGCAAACCCCAGGCCGCCAAAGCGGAGTGCGCGAACCTAACCGCTACGCCACGGGGCTGGCTCCTGCCAGACATATATTTAGCTGCTTACTGTATAGTCTAGATACACCATGGGGATGGGGAGCTCGGGGATTTGCGAAGGCAGCTCTGGGCCCCTGGTCCTGTCAACAGTTCACATCTATTTAGCATTATGCTGTGCAGGGAGTTGGGAATAGATCTGGGGTATTTCTGACAGGGTCTCTGAGCTCATTGGGATGATGGCTCCTATTTATTAAGCACTTCCTGTTTGCCTGCTACCGTCCACAATGGTGGCCTGGTGGGTTTCTGACAGCTGTTCTGGATCCCTAGTCCTTACATTTGCTTACTGCATGCCTGGCAGTGTCCTTGGGGGTCTTCAAAGGGTAACTTTAGATCCCTGATCATGAAGGTAAATGGCATTTATTAAGCACTTATTGTGTACCCACCTCTTCCCATTCAATCCCCCAACATCCCTAAGAGGTAGGTGCTCTCATCAATCTATTCCACATACATTTATCCCACACCCGTGCCTGGGCCTGCCCACACCGTGCAATGCTGTACACCATCCTTGTCAGCTCGTGCCAGGATGGGAGACATGCTCTTCTTTGCAGGTACCCACGATGGTCACCGTGGTCTGCGTGGGCCCCCTGCTCAGTTACCTGTGCTGAGGGCTCCCAGCTGCGGCACCGGCGCTGCATAGGCTGGGGCGGGCAGTGCTCTGAGAAGGTGGCACCTGGAACCCTCGAGTGGCAGCTGCAAGCCTGTGAGGAACAGCCATGCTGTCCTGGTGAGGAGGATCAGCAAAGCGGGCAAGCACTGCCCATTAGCCAGCACTGGGAATGATCAGGACAGAGGCCCTTAGGGTGGGACTGTGCCTGATTCATGAGGCACTAAGGAGGAGGCTGGTGTGGCTGGAGGAGAGTGGTGGGAGGTGAAGTCAGAGGGGGCCTGTTCCCTGTGGACCATGGTGAGGATGTTGGCTTTTTTTTTTTTTTTTTGAAATGTTTTTCTTTTTTTTAAAGATTTTATTTATTTATTTTTCCCCCAAAGCCCCAGTAGATAGTTGTATGTCATAGCTGCACATCCTTCTAGCTGCTGCATGTGGGACGCAGCCCCAGCATGGCCGGAAGAGCGGTGCGTCGGCACGTACCCGAGATCCGAACCCGGGCCGCTGGCAGCAGAGAGCGCGCACTTAACCGCTAAGCCACGGGGCCAGCCCAAGGATGTTGGCTTTTATTCTGAGAGGTGTGGGCTGTGGGCAGAGGAGAACCGTGATCTGACTTGGGTTGTGACAGATCTCTCTCGTTGTCAGGAGGAGGACAGCCTGTATGTGGTGAGGGGTGAAGCAGGGGGACCGGTGTGAAGGCTACTGCAATAGTCCAGATGAGCAATGATGGTGGGCCAAGTGTGGCAGAGGATATGGAAACAGGATTGACTTATGTAGGGTGCATGAGGAAGCAAGGACTCCTGAATGACAGCCCCACCTCCATCCTGTCCCCCTCTCTTCTCTTCCACAGAGATAGGTGGCTGGTCCGACTGGGGGCCCTGGGCGCCTTGCTCTGTTACCTGCTCCAAAGGGACCCGGACCCGTCGTCGAGCATGTGATCGCCCCATCCCCAAGTGTGGGGGCCACTGCCCAGGAGAGGCACAGGAGTCAGTGATCTGTGACACCCATCAAGTCTGCCCCAGTGAGTGAGGGCAACCCCAGGGCACTGATGGCAGGCACCCAGGGTGGGTCTCGTGGTTACAGCAGGGAACTGCCAGGGTGGGAGGACTTCAGCATGCATGATCACACTTGGCATTTTCTCACCCCCACCCCACCACAGCACACGGGGCCTGGGCTGCTTGGGGCTCCTGGGGCCCCTGCTCGGGCTCCTGCCGCAGTGAAGCCAGCGCACCTATGGAGAGACGAAGCCGCACGTGTTCTGCACCTGCGCCCTCCACGCAACCTCCCGGGAAGCCTTGCCCAGGGCCAGCCCACGAGCAGCGGGCCTGCGCCGGCCTGCCACCCTGCCCAGGTACAACAGGATGAGGCCTCTGACACTCTGCTCTTGATTCGGGCACAGATGTTCTGCCATTTCAGGGGATAGAGATCTTACACCGTGTGACCATGGGGCTCTTCACTTGGGTGCAGTCTGCCTCAAGGGTCTAGGGGCTGAGGGGGGGAGATTGAGGTGGCCTTTCTCCTCACTCCTATCCGCCCCCAACAGTGGCTGGTGGCTGGGGGCCATGGAGCCCTGTGAGCCCCTGTTCTGTGACCTGTGGCCTGGGCCAGACCCAGGAACGACGGACATGTGATCGCCCTGTGCCCCAGCATGGGGGCCCCTCCTGTGCCGGTGATGCCATCCGGACCCATGTCTGCAACTCGGCCGTGCCCTGCCCTGGTCAGCACCTCAAGATGCACCATTTCCATGCCTAAGACCCCACCCTCTCTGCTGCCCAGTCCCTGTTGCTGCTGCCTTGTTTCTGCCTCCAATTCCTCCATTCCTGGCCCTGATGCTTCGGTTCCACCTCTGATCCCCCATTCGCACATCTGATCACCCCCACTCCCTCCCCCAGCCCTCATTCCTTCCTCTGAACCCCCTCGCTGCCTCCTTTCTTCGGTGCGAGACCCTGCTACCCCTGTCTCTGCAGTGAACGGAGAGTGGGGACCCTGGGGGGAGTGGAGCCCCTGTGTCCGCCGGAACATGAAATCCATCAGCTGTGAGGAAATCCCGGGCCAGCAGGCACGCTCAAGGAGCTGCAAGGGCCGCAAGTTTGATGGCCAGCGATGTGTCGGGGAACAACAGGATATCCGGCACTGCTACAACATCCAGCGCTGCCTCTGTGAGTGCCCCCACAGACCGCGCTGTCAGGGGGTGCAGCCCATGGGGGACAGGGGTTTCTGAGTCTCTGATGTGGATCCCATGTCCCTGCAGCCTCTCTCTCACCACCCCACTGAGAATTCTCATTCTGACTCGAGAACCTCCTCCCCTCATTGCAGGGAAAGGCTCATGGTCGGAGTGGAGTACCTGGGGGCTGTGCATCCCCCCATGTGGACCCAACCCCATCCGCACCCGCCAGCGCCTCTGCACGGCCTCGCTCCCCAAGTTCGCGTGAGTGAGGGGGCCAAGTATGCCTAGGAGGGGGTCATGATAGCGATACATCAGCAGTAACAGTGGGAGAGTGGGCTCCCCCAACCAGGGCTTCCACCACTGGGTCTCAGGTGCCTGCCTTGCCAAGTACCATCTCCCAGCTGCAGGAAGGAGGGGAAAACGAAAGAAGATGCTGAGAAAGAAGATACTGAAGGGAGAATTAGTAGCCTCTGTGCCCTTCAATCAGTCAGTCAGTCACTCAGCCATTCTCCCATTCACTCAGTCCTTCCTGTGTCCGTTTGCTCTGCTCTCAGGTACCCAGGCTTTGATTTGCTCATTCAGTCACTCAGTCACTCATGCCTCCATTCACTTACTCATTCCTTCAGTTGCCCATGCCTCCACGGGTGACTCAATGTCTCACTTAACATCTCACTGCCCCCAGGGACTCAAAGGCCTTTTTGGCAATAGTTGCAGACACACAGAACCCAGATCCCATGGATCCCCCAAGGGATGCAGGTTGGCAGGGCCCTGACAGAAGGCATATGAGGAACAGTCGATGCATGGAAAAGAGACTGCCTCCTCAACCTAGGTCCAGGAAACTGATTGGGCCTCCCCTGGCAGGAAGGGGCTGGGAAAGGCATTCTTGGCATCAAGACTGTGTGAGCAGAGTCCTAGACACAGGTGATCCACCCCCCCAAAGTGTTTCCCAGTGGCCAGGGTGGCCCGGTGTTGGAGATGGTTAAAACACTCACTCATCCCGCCCTTATTTCCACATACATCAAACTCCTAGATTAAGGAGGCAGTTCCCCACTCCTGGAAGCCCTGCCATCTGGGAAGTGGTCTCTGGCTGTGGGGTTTAGAGTGGGTCCTGAAGATGAGTTAGGGGTGTTGAATGGAGGCACGAAGGACCTGACAGAGGGAAGGAATGACTGGAGAAAGGACTGATTGAAATTGGGATGGGAGTGAATGGAGGGCTTGCCTTGTGGGAGAAATAACCCAGGCAAAGACCATTCTGGGCATGGGACTGAGTCTGGATAAAGTGGAGGAGAGAGAGAGATTGGCTTGGGGCAGGGATTTGGGCCCAACAACAAGGCCTTGAATGTCAAGGCAACGCATTTGGGTTTTTTCCAGGGGGCAATGGGGAGAGATGTAAAGGGTTTTGGAGGTAAGAGAAGGTAGCTCATGTCAACAAGTAACAATTACCAGCATTTATTGGCCACTTACTGTGTACCAGACACCACTCTGAGCACTTTACCTGAATTAACTCATTTATCCTCAGTCAGCCCAGTGAGGTGGGTATTATTATTCCCATTTTTCAGATGAGGGAAACTGAGGCACGGGAAAGATAAAGAAATTGCCCAATAACTCACAGCTAAAACACAGTGTTGGGCACACAGTGGTACTCAGTAAGAGTTTGTTGAATGCATGCTTGCCTTCCCTGAGCTTCTCCCCTCCATTCCCTCCCTAACTCCCCAGGCCCACGATTACCATGGTCGAAGGTCAGGGTGAGAAGAACGTGACCTTCTGGGGGAAACCATGGGCACAGTGTGAGATGCTGCAGGGGCAGAAGTTGGTGGTGGAAGAGAAACGGCCATGTCTACACGCGCCTGCCTGCAAAGACCCTGAGGAATAAGAAGCTCTAACACCTCTCTTCCACTCTGACCCCCTGACCTCTCAGACCTCAATAAACCAATCTCTGCCCCAGGAATGGGACGTTAACATCTTCTAGGCCAAAGGGCACAGAACGGGCCAAGTTGCGGTGGCCTGTTGTGGGAAACAGTATTTTCCGCTGTGGCCACAGTTTGACAGGAGTGATGGCGAGTATCCGTTCCTTCGCCGCTGCCGTAGTCCCAAAGTCTGTGCCTGCTACCCACCCGCGCAGTGCCCAGGGCGCCCAGCACGTCCCTCTGCAGAGCTCCGCATTACAGGTTTCCTGATTCGCCACTCTCCCTGGCAGACACTTGCTGATTGGCTGGCGTGCTTGTTATCCATCTCCCCACCTCCTGAAGTTCCCCGGGTTCCCACCCGCCGGAGCCTCTCGGCCCGCGGATTCCGCGTCTATCGGCGTTGAACCGCGGCAGAGGGGTGGCTGGGGTTGGCGCCCCACCGCGAGAACACCTGCACCCACCCACTCCCAACAACCCAGCTGCAATGCCACAATTAGCGGCGACAAATAGTTCCACGAGGCGGGGGGCGGACAGAGGAAGTGCCTGCGAGGTGCTCTGAGCTTGGGGGGGTGGGCAAAGAGAGGCTAGAGTTAGCATTTGCCAGGAGGAACCCCCGAGACAAATCCAGACACAGATTCCTTTAGTATTTGTTCATTCATTAAACACTTATTAGCGTCTACTGTATACTAGAGCGAAGTCTGGGCATCTGGGGTGGAGGAGGGCTGGTAGACAGGACATTTGAGCGAGAAAACAGACTCAGAATAAGAGATCCTTTAGTTTGAACATTTATTCAACAGTTATTAACGCCTACTGTATACTAACAATAGCGCTGGACATCATGGGGGATAGGGAAGAAGAGGTGTCAGAGAGTACGTGTCACCACAGTGAAGGGAACAAACCCAGACACTAATGTTCTTAGCATTTGCTCATTCATTTAGCACCGATTAGCACTTACTGAATGCTGGGTCCCTTGTGATGAGACAAATCATAAAGATCATCATAATTATGGTAATAGCTAATACTTAGAGAGTACTTGCTGTGTGCCTGGTAGTGTTTTCAGACTTTTCCATAGCATGAATTCATTTAATACGCAACGAACATATGAGGGTAAGTATTATCCTCATTTTACCAAGGAGGAAACAGAGGCACAGAAAGGTAGTGGGCCACACGTTTCTGAAGCACCATGTCAGGAGCAGAGTTTAGGACTTTGTGATGTGAGTGGAGGGACACCTCTGTGTGGGAAGGCTGGGATAGGAGACTTGTGACACCTGGGGTCAGGGTGCTCACTTCTCTGGGTCGATTTCCCCTTCTGTAAAATGGGTCAGTTGATGTGTCGAGGTGAAGACGAAGTCAGTGAATGTTTGGTCATCTTGGGAGGAATGAGCCAAAGTGATGGGTTCTGTTTGCTACTAGTGAAGACGAAGTCAGTGAATGTTTGGTCATCTTGGGAGGAATGAGCCAAAGTGATGGGTTCTATTTGCTACTACGGAGTGTGAGAGAGGTATGTGTTTACAAGAAAGTGGAAATTTGCCTGTATGTGCGCATTATGGGGCACATATCTTTGTGTATGTGTGATATGCAGACCTATGGGTCTGTGCAAGAATTAAGGATGTATTGAGTGTATGTGGAGTGCATGTGAAGTTACAACCGTGTGTGCACCATAACACTGTCTGAGTTATAGGAGTGTGCGTGTGTGCATGCATGCACATTAAGGTGGCATGGATATGTATGTGTGTGAGTTATAAACATGAGTATAATACTGATTATGAACATACTCAGGGGTGTCTGTTTCAGAGTCATTGCTCACCAATGCTCAACAAAAAATCATTCTTGGATCCCCTTCTGTATGCTCATTCCTGCTAGAGAAGATGGAGACAGTGCAGAGGAGCCTTACCTCTGCCTCGGGGTGTTGAGATACTCCTGGGGGGAATCTTCCTTCCTCTGCTAAACAATCTACAAAAATTTCATTTCTGGAAATTGAGCCACCTGGAGAAAGGGAATGACGCTGGGGGCCACAAGTACTAGGAACCTGGGAATGGGGCCCCTGGGAAGAGGCAGTCTGGAGACAGATTCCTGAGGAGTGCCACTAGGAGCCAGAAAGGTCTGTAGACCTGCAGCTGCTCCTGTCCCCCAGAGGGGGCACCATGGGTCCAGCACAGCTTGTTTGCTTCAGTTACTGAGCAAAACACTGGGGAGCACATACTTCGAAATGTTGAAAAATACCCGAATCATGGGGAGTTTCCCATCTGGGGACCACTGGGATATGGAATGCCAGAGAGGGCCTCCAGGAGAAAGGGGGAAGGAACAGCCAAAGCAAAGGCCTGGAAGTGGGACTGAAGCTGGCTGGGATGGAGGATGGAGTAGAGAATGGTTTGGAAGTATTTGACTTGAGGACTGTGGGAGCCTAGGGGAAGAGGTGATGGAATCTGAGTCCTGGAGGAGGCGATTTCCTGGAGACCTTGGCCAAAGATTATCCTTGAGAGAGAGAAGGAAAGGACATTCCTGGCAGAAGTCACAGCACATGCAAAGATACAGAGGTTGTCTCCCCGCTCTTCGAGGCAGGTTAGGTGATCATTTTTACAGATGACGAAACCAAGTCTCAGAGGATTTACGTCACTTTCCCAGGGGTATAGTGGAGGTCCAGTTTGAACCCAGGCACTCTGACTCCAGACCCCACACCATTACTACCTTGTTTAAACAGGCCAATGATTTAATGAATGAAGAATGAACAAATGAATAAGTGGATGATTCATCTGAAAATCCTGCAGGCAGACGAGACTCCAAATCTGCCTACTTCTTGCCATATCTTCTTCTGCCTCACTTGGTCCACCATCATCACTCACTATGGCCTGCAAGGCCCTGCTCCATCTGGTCCCTGCTAACCTCTCTGACCCCATCTCTTGCCACAATGCCCCTTGCTCACTTTGTTCCAGCCACACTGGCACCTCTTTCTGATGCATTCTTAAAAAAAAAAAAAAAAAAGTATGGATCACAAAGTGAACATGACCCTTTGGGAATGAATTGGAGTTCTTGGATTCCTTCATCAGTAAAAAGGAAGTGATATTACCCACCCCATAGTATTGTTGTGAGGTTTGGATGAGACAATACATGTAAACAGCTTAGTTAAGCATTGGGTACAGTCAACAAATGTTTGTTTTTAAATGGATTTGTACTTTCATTGTAGTCAGAATCTTATAGGAGCTGACAGGATGGCTTTCATAGCTCACCTCTGCCCAGACTATAAAGGTCATTTGCTCATGTGGCAAACATTATTTGGTACCTACTGTGTGCATACCCTAGGATGGATCTGCCTCTATCTGTGGAAAGTTCTCTGGTGCAGGGAGAGACGGCCATGGGCGCTGATGATGCCAAGTGGTTATCATGGTATTTGGCTGTGTCCAGGGCAGAGGGATGGGAGTGTATAGACCGAGTGTGTGTGTGTAGAGGGGGAGAGATGGGCACACATCAGGGCTAGAGCTTCAGGGAATGTGTCTGGCAGATCTAGGTTTGTTCATGATTGTCTGTGGGTATGTGTTTTGTCTGGGTGTGCATGCTCGTGTGAGTTTCCCTGGGTCTCTGTGTGTCGGTGTGGTGTCTGTGTGTGTGTGTATGTGCATATATATGCGTGTATGCATGCATGTCTATATGTGTTACCCTGGGCTTGCGTGTGTCTGTATAGACACCTAAATCAGTGTGTGTTCTCTGTCCATGCCTCCTCGTGTTTCCTTACTTTTGTATGTGTCTATATGTATCTCCACGTATGCGACATTCCCTGTGTGTCTCCAGGCCCCTCACCACGAGGGCAAGGGTGTGTACCCTGCCCAAATGTCCACCTCCGCCTGTCTAATGCTGTCTACGTCGCCCCCGCACCCTTCTCCCTGCCTAGCTAAGCCTGTGTAGACGTGGGAGACTCATCTCCCTGCGGGCTACTGCGCGTGACCCCCACCCCTCTCCTGAGGGGGTTATTTCTCTACTTTTCTGTCTCCGGCTGTGCCTCCATTCCCACTCCCCCAAATGCCTTCTGTGGTTAACATCAACACTGGAAACCGAGTATCAGCGGAGGGTCCTCCCTGTGGGTGCGAGTGAGTGTGAAGACCAGGATGAGGCGGGGAGGGGAGGCTTACCTGACCACCCACCTCGACCCTCCCGACAAGCCCTCACCCCGCCCCCACTCCTCAAATTGCGCATCCCCAGTCGGAGTTGGGGGAGGGGAAACAGGATGCGGCGTGGCGCGTGCGCACTGCCGCCTTCAGTACCGCGGACAGCACCTTCGCCCCCGCCTGCCGGCGTGCGCCACCGCCGCCCAGCACTGAAGGCGCGCTGACGTCACTCGCCGTTCCTCTCCAAACTCCCCTTCCCGGTCGCCTTGGTCGCATCCGTGCCGCCGCCAGCCCAGCCGGACTGCACCATGCGAGGCGCGAGATAGGGGGGCACAGGCGCGACCATCCGCGCTGCGGCGGCAGCGACTCAGCGCTGCCTCAGTCTGCAGCGGGCAGCGGCAGAGTCGCGTCGTGCCTGAGAGCACAGAGGTGCTCCTGGGCCCAGCGCGGTCTGCCCCCGCGGTTCCTGGCCAGACTGCTCCTAGGACCCCCTGCCCCGCGCCGCAGCCATGAACTACCTGCGGCGCCGCCTGTCGGACAGCAACTTCATGGCCAATCTGCCAAATGGGTACATGACAGACCTGCAGCGCCCGCAGCCACCCCCGCCGCCACCTGCTGCCCCCAGCCCCGGAGCCACGCCCGGTCCCGCGACCGCCACTGCTGAGAGGGCCTCCGCGGCCGCCCCCGTGGCCTCTCCTGCCGCCCCTAGCCCCGGGTCCTCAGGGGGTGGTGGCTTCTTCTCGTCGCTGTCCAACGCGGTTAAGCAGACCACAGCGGCCGCGGCCGCTACCTTCAGCGAGCAGGTGGGCGGCGGTTCTGGGGGCGCAGGCCGTGGGGGCGCCGCCGCCAGGGTGCTGCTGGTCATCGACGAGCCCCACACTGACTGGTAAGCCACTGCTGCGGACGTCTTCCCGTGGGCCTGGGTTCCCAGATAGTTCGTG